TTAAAGAAAATTGGAATAATCCAAGATGGCACATGTAGATTCTGCAAAGAAGCAGAAGAGACACCAACACACTTACTAACAAACTGCGGAGCTACACTAGCCCGCAGGAGGAAGTGTTTTGGGATGTACAATGTGACCATAGAAGAACTACAACCACTGAAACCGGGCCTATTAATCAAGTTTCTTGATGAAATAGGACTCACCGATGTGCTTTGGGCAGAGCACGGGATACAATAGCTCTTAAAGGGCGCAGTATACCAAACCCTGAATCATTATATCTATCTATCTATCTATCATCCCAAAGTATTCGGCATTCCTCGGGGTTTTATTTCTATATACTGTTGGACACAATAACGCACTACCCTTAAATTTTAATGTATTTAGGTTTTATTCATATTTTTCGTACCAAAATTTTCCTAATTCTAAAAAAAGAAAAAAAAGCAATTATTGGGTTAAAAAAAATTCAAAAAGAAATAAAAATGTACAAAAAAACTTCCCATTTGATATCTAGTATTTTCACCTCTGGCAAGAATCTGTTAAACGCCTTTGCATTCCTTGGAAAAGATTTCTGGTAAAATCTTTAAGGAATTCTAGGGTTTCGTCGTCACACTCGTCGCTTAAGTTGGTCCCAAATACGTTTGATTCCGATCAAATCTAGACTTCCAGCTGGCCACATCAAGCACTCAATTCTAACCTAATTCAAGTATAATCCACAATACGAGCTCTATGGGGCCTGGCTTTATTTAGCAAGAATCTTTCACAAATTGGGGGTCAAATGATACTACTTCTTCGATTCGTCTAGTAAGTACCTGTGTGAAGTTAGAGATCTTCCTCGCACAACAACCATTTCGTTAACGGCGTCCAAGGAAATGCTACCACAGAATATCAACGACCCACCTTAGCCTGAGGAAGCTGTACCTTTTTCATAAGGTCTCCATATGAATTCGTCCCACATATTCCAACGTCCCGGCCATTTTCTGAGCTGAGGGGGTACCGGGCCATGAGGTTATTTTCATTGAACCTTCTTACAGTCCTGGAGAAAATCAAACATTTCGGACTTGTCTTTTAGATTTCTTATCTCATTTCCCGTAAAAATGAGCTTTTGTAGAGCCTGATAACGGATGAATCTATCGTCTCTCTCGTCTGTAGACCTAGGTCGACCGGGCCTGCACTTTTGGTCTTTTTGGATCTTGAGAATGGCCGAGTGAAGATGGGGAGAGTGGAAGGATATGTATATTTGGGAGTCATCGGCATACTGGTGATAGTTACAGGACTGGATGGAGTCGGGCAGGTCATTGATATAAATTGAAAAAAGGATAGGAGAGATAAATTTACGCAGAAAACAAACACTTTGAGCCTTGAAGACGATCTCAATAAAGATCGAAACGTTGACACGATAAAGAAAATGTTTTTCTGAAATCTAGTCACACGAGACCGCATCTCACGATTTCCGAATAATCATAGGTCACTAATCACCACACATATAAAAATAAAATAAAACCGGAAGACAGAAACGGTGTTTACACCTGTACCTGTGAATGTAACGAAGTGGTGTACATGGTCAGTCCAGAAGAAAAATAAAAGAACATAGCCACCAATAAGGGTGGGCGAAACAAAGACAAAAACCTCAAACAATAAACAAACTAGGAAACTTGGTCCGACTTACCCACCTAGTGACGACAGAACACGTGGACTTCTTCACTCTGAGGGAAAAAGAAAGACTCAACTAAAAAGAGGCCTACGAAATCTGCATTTAAAAGATTAACTAAAAGCTATCTTTAGGTAAAAAGATTTAAAAATTATCTTTATATGTGTAGAAATAATAGGAAAAGCATAATGCTACGTTTTGTGCAAATGGGACTAATTAGTACAAAAGTAAACAAAGCATTATTTACTATTTATTTTGACAACGATAGCTCCTGTAACGATAAAGATAATGGCCTTAATTTAAAACTAAATAAATTCAGTGGTGCGTTAAATTTGTCCATCAGCGTGTTACATATATAATAATAATTGTCATCACTTTTTTATAGGAGAAAATTAAGAATTAATTACGATTTTCCAATTTAAATTAAGATTCTATGATTTATATATGGTATTCTATTGTATAAGCATTGTTATTTTTTGTATTAAAAAATTGTCTAATGAGAGTGAAGTTTAATACTTCATTTAGCTCAGCAGGTGATGATTTAAAAATCAAGTCGTTTCCTATAAATGTGAAAAATTCAAATTTTATTTATTAATTGCTATGTAAAAAATTGTAATGTAAGTCTTCTCTTACCGATTTAAGTATTTCTGTATTATTTCTGGATTTGTATGGTTAGTTTTCACTATTCTGTCACTATTTATTAAAGGATTAGGACGTGTCTTAACTTTAGTGTAATGACTTTATAAAATTAAAAGATTGTTGTAATAACACCACGATCAAAAATGACATTTAGTCTCGTCATTTTGCTAATCTATTAGATCTTGCTCGAAATATATAGCATATAAATTACTTAATATTCTTGTACGCAATAAACAAATGATGTTACCTAAATTACACATTTTTTAGACGAAGCAAAAAATAGTACATACATTTTTGAATTTTACAATTGGTCTATTATGAAACATGAATTAAATTTCAGTTTTTAAAGGACGAGAAGTGCGTCAGTTCCACGAAACGTAAATAGAAGTAATGAGCAAGCTGAGAAAGATAACTGGATGCAATTGCAATGTTGAACTGCCTCCCCCGCCTTGTACAGAGCCAGTAAGACCGAAATAATCCATGCTAGGGCCAACCAGCGTAAAAATCAAAAGGGTTATTTGTTTCCCGTTCAGATCGAAAGATTTAGAACCTTTGGTCAAGCCGATGAAGCTGCCACTACATAAGAACGTCGAACCGGAATCGCCAGGGGCCGTTTGTTCGTTTCCTCTTACCGCACTGCCGCAAATTTCGAAGTCAGCCATTTCGGAAAGCAGCCTGCATTCGATTTGCGGCAATAGGCGCACTTCGGCCACTTTCAAATCGTCGGAGACGACTCTATCCTTGCCCTGCATAGCGACAACGCCGTATCCCGTTGCAAAGCAGATCTCATTTGATGTCCTGAGTTTCTGCACAAACTTCTGCATCCCTGCGGGGTCACTTGCCGGGAAGGAGACGGGTTTAACTGTGTCCGACGGGACGAACGGATTTTTCAAGATCGCCAACGCGATGTCGTAAAGGACGTAATGGCCGCCGAAACGTAATTGCCGTCTTTCGAATTTCTCGTGGATTTTGTATTCTTTCACGACCGATTCCTGTTTTGAGCCGGACTTGTCATTTAAGTTGACGACTCCTGCGATTATTATGACCTGCGACGCGTCCACGAGCGTTCCATCTATATTAAAACAGTGTCCTGCTGAAATGACTTTGTCTAGCGTCACTAGTGTGCCTCCACATCGCGCATTTCCATCGTAACAAACTGTTGATGGAAATTCACCTTTTCTGGCCTTTCTTCCCCCTATGATTTTACCGCCTTCCTCACTCGACGCGAGCAAATAGCGATCGCCGATCAATAAAATAAACAACAACTTTACTAACAGTGTGCTACTGGACTGTTGACGATTTTCGTACATATGAACCTCGGACATAATCGACGTAGCTCCTCCTTTAAGAGAATTTAATGATTTGTTATTTCACTTTATTAAACCCAAGAAATAAAACGAACACGCTCTATTTTTAATAAAAATAGTTCATTATCGTCTTAATTTATAAAATACCGCTACTTTAAAAAGTTTTAAAAGATTTAGAATTCTATCTGATTGTATTATGTATAAACACAAGTAGCATTGTATAATCTAATAAAACATGTGACCGGTACGTGTCCGAGCAATATGGGTTTGAGGCCAGCAGCCTGATTCCGATGATAGTACTTTTTTAGAATTGCTCACTTTTCGTGAGTTGCCATTTTTGTATGTAAAATTGGTTTTCGAAAAAATTCAAACGGTAGCAAATTTTTTTCAATTCGATTTTTTGAAACTGGACTAATATTACAGACTAGAGGAAAAAGGGCGCCGGGCGGCGTAACTTTCTTATTCTTTAAATCTGAAGACTATTGCAACTGTATCATAGCGGTTATAACAAGTAAAGGGATAAAAGGGAACAAATCAAACTAATTTATATTTTGAATTTTAGTAAGTTTAGAAAAAAATGAAGATAAAATCAGAGCCGACGAAAAATAAAGTATCAATCGGCTATGAAAGTTATATTAAGAGCAATGTATGATAATTTGAAACAATGATAGCGGGCGCGTGTATTCCACAATGTCGAAATTATATTTATAATTCAAAGACACAATATTTTTTCTAAATGAACAGTTGATAAATATAATCTTTAATTGTTCCGTTAAGAGTAGTTACACAATTTTTAAAAATTTAAATTGTCAACTGGTAAAACTTTGATTGTATTTCGTTTCAGTAATTTATTCATATCAAGAGGAATTCTTCGGTCCGCGTCCGTTGTAACTTGGAGACGAGCAATGAGAGAAAGATAACGGGATGAAGCTGAAAAAGTTTTGTCCCTTCACCCTTCCCAAGACTGAAAACCTCCAAGTAAGGGCCGAAAAGTACAAAAGTGGTAACATATATAGATTTGCCGTCTTTTTCTATTTTCTTAAAATCCTTGGTCATGCCTATGATTTTCCCGCCACACATTACAGTCGTTCCGGTATCGCCGACGTACATGTGATCGGCTTGTTTGACAGCAGTGCCGCAAAGTTCTTTTCCTACCATTTCAGGTAATAAACCGCAATCTCCATCCGGCAACAGTTGAATTTCAAGGACTTTCAAACTGAACGAGACAGAGTCTACAGGGTTGTCAAAGTCGATAGCACCGTAGCCCGCGGCGAGGCACGTCTGCTTTGTTTGTATGACATTATCTACAAATGCCTTCATTCCTGCTTCGTTGTTTGCAGGGAAGACCGCAGGCGACAGCGTATCCGTTTGGACAAATGCCGATTCCAAAATACCGACCGCAATGTCGTTAAGGATGTAGTAGCCGGTAGAGGTTGTCCGATTTTCGTACTTTTTGTGACGCTTGTAATCCATCACATATATTTCCTGTGTTCCTTTGTCCCTGATGTCTACGTTGCCTCCGAACAATGCTATGTAGCTGATATTTACTTTCGGCTCGAAACAGCTACCCCCTGTCAAGAACTTATCTAACGTCACCAGTGTAGCTCCGCATCGAATAGCGCTGCGAAAGCACAGAGTAGATGGAAATTCCCCTTTCAGGGCATCTCTACCTCCTACGATTTTTTGTCCGTCACTTGCAACAAGCCAATAGCAATCGCACATTAATAAAATAAACAACGCCCAACCTATTACAGATCTGCTATTGAAATGCACTCCGTACCAGTCCATCATGCATTCTATTTTCATCTTACTCGATTATTAAAGAGTCCTTGGAAATATATGTATGTACAAATATCCGTTTTAAATGCAAAATGTTCATTACCTTTTTAATTTATGGTATACAGGGTTGGATAAATAGAAAATGTACACTTAAAATTTTGAACATCAAAAACCAAAAATGTAATGATATGAAATGTTACTGCTTACGAGGTAACATCTGTTTTAAATTCAGACATCTGAAATCAAAGTTCAGTAGTTGGTTTTGCTGTCAACATAGTCATGTTTCTATTTATGTTTTAGTGTTTAATTCATATTCACGCATAAATGAAGGGATGTCCATTCGGAATCCATCCAAATAAAATTGGGGGTTGAGGTACATCAAAGACAAAAATATACGGCTGTACGATACTTATGCTTATTTAATATAATTATTATTTACTGATTTATGTAAGCTCAGCTTTGCTCATGCATGTACATACAAATTTTTAACAATTAGACAATAATTTTAAATCCTTGATAAAATACCCTTTGAAAATGTGTGTTTCCAGTTCATTACTACAGTCATCATTTCTTTAAACCTCTTATCTGTCAGCATTTACAGAACAAAACAAATTTTACTTAAATTTGATTTACAAGAACTTTAGAAACTCATAAAAGTTTGTCTTTCAAGTGAGAGTGTATTTTGGTTGCTTAAGATTACAATAAAATATCAAATGAATATCATAGCATTTTCCATGCTCTTTCTAATGACATCATCAAATTTACAGTTCATTTAACATTTCATGAGATATGGGTGACTATGAAATAAAGTTGTGAAAAGTCGAAGTAACCTGAAAAGTGAAATATCTTCAATACATTCAGAAGCAGACATGTATAATATCAGTACTTATGTAGGATACGATAACATCATGAAGTATTGACATCTCTTCAAGGGTCACCTTGTGTTTGAACATGAACAGGATATGGTTTCATCTGTTTTATTTTGAGACTTCACATGTTCGCAGATTATAAAGAATAAACACAAAAATTTGAATTACTTTGGTTTGAAATGCAAAATTTTTAGTGTTTTTTTCCCACGAAGCTTCTGTAAGGTTTGCGTTGTTTATTAGCTCTTGAAAGTAATAAATCCAAATGTTAATAACTATTTACTTACATAATATTTTTTAGGTGAATGTGACCAACGAGTTTCAATGCATTATGTACTTGTTCGGATATGATTGTCGGTTTAACAGCTGTGCCGCAGTAGAGTTGTTGTTTATTATATTCCTCAGCGATTGCTGTTCGCTTGCTTCAAGTGAGGCCGGCTCTAAAATCATAGAAGGCAGATACGCAAGACGTGGCGAATTTCCAGCGACGGTTGTTTGCGAGGGCGCGAAGAAATGCGGAGGTACGCTCGTGACATTGCGCAAGGTACTTACAGCGGGTCGCTGTTTTTTTGCAGACGATAAACCTGTGGAGGCGAAGAGTATCAAAGTGACTGGAGGCGTCTTGAATCTGAAGGAGAATTCAAACGAAAAACAGCAGTCGCTCTTAAAATCATACCATGTTCACGAAAAATACAAAAGTCCTTCCCCAACTGATCAAATCCCTTACTTCTTTTTTGATATCGCATTGGCAGTTTTGGAAATTCCGTTCTTCAAAACGGATACGGTGCGACCAGTGGTTTTCCCGGCAAAGGATCCAGGAGGGATGAGGAAATTCCTGGACAAAACCTTAGCTAAAAATGCCACTTGCCAAGCCACAGGATACGGCGCCACTGAAGAAGGCGGTACAGACGTCGATACTTTGAAAGTAGCCAACGTGCGCCTAATTGATTCTACGGCGTGCTGGTTGAAAAAAGAGTCGTTGGCATACGAAGTATGTGCAACTCCTATTAATGGAAAAGATAGAACCACCCCAGGGGATGCTGGATCGACGTTCTTGTGCGACGGGTACATGCTAGGCATGAGCAAAAGTCGGAACAGAATGACTAGAAAAGGGGTGGAATACCATTTTATGATTTTCACGCTAGTTGGTCCTTTCATGGAATATTACAAGCTTGGGATAGATGAAGGACAAACATCTCAATTGCACCCTGCTGTCTTCCTCTTTTTGCTCATCATCTCGTTCCATGAAGCTGACGCATTACTTTTGCCGTACTGTTAAAATACTGTATTATAATAAAAATTGAAATCAATTAAATTACAAACATGTGTAAATAAATTATCGACACTTGGCATTTTGAATTTCAAAACATTTGTGTTATTATTAACATTTGGCGCTTTTATTGCCACGTTACCAGGCACTACTTCTTTCTCACTAAATCTGTTCCTGAATTGGATATCTTTAGAAATTTCACCTCTACGTATCTCAACCTCGACGGCCCGTTAAATGACTCTGCAAGATCCTAGATTTGTCTTCTTTGGATTCTGGTATTCTTCCAACACCACAGCAATTTTACTAAGTTAGAAATTGCAACTATACGTGTAATTTTTTGTTTTGTAGTTTAATGGAGGAGGTGGCTGTTTTGCTAGTTGAGCAATAGTATAGTTGGGGTTAGTCGTCTTGGAATTACGAGCTTCGTCGGAGTTTGATAATTTTACATTTACGGATATCAAGATAATCATGTTAGGTGTTAAGCTTCGTGGAATATGGAGCTTCGTGATGTGACAAGGACCAAATTATGAATTAGCTGAATCTTGTTAATTATTTGCTGAAGCTGAGAGCAAGCACCATAAGACGGGACGAGATAGATGTTCTATCTACGAAATTCTACAGAATGTAGTACTCTTTGCCCCTTCTTGAAATACTAGTTTACTGATGTTTTTAAAGCAGTGTTTAATTTCACTCTTCATGTAGACCACTCATTACTGATTTACTTAGGCTCTACTTCGCCTACTTCAGTATTGGAAGGTCCAAACCCTCCCCAATATACATTACATTTGAATATACACAAAAATATATACAATAACATATGATGATATATAATAAACAGTTTTCTCGCACACTGCTGTGCTCAAGCACAATTCCTACATAAGTAGCATTACTACACGCACTCAATAAGGAGCCAAGGAATGATACCGTTCATTAATGTTAGATTCGTCAAGCGCCATTTTCGCTCCATGGCGTTCCTCGATGCAGGTTCCAAGATCTCTCACGTTTAATAAAATTATAATAGTCTTTAAATAAGTGAGCCTATAAATCCGAAGTTCCGCAGGCCCATCCTCATTTAATTAAAAAGTCAAGAATGGAAAAAAGTTTCATTTTTTTAATATTCATAAGAGGAATGCGTCAGTTTTGTGGCCAGCAGAACAAGAAGAACTAGCAGAGAAAAGTGGATGGATGCAACTGATATTGTGTCCCTTCGTTCCCACCGAGGTTGAAATATTCCATGTAAGGTCCGAACAACGTGTACACTAAGTAGCATATTTCTTTCCCGTCTTTTGTATATCTGTTCCTTCCTTTGGCCATGCCCAAAATGTACCCGGTATCGTCTGGGGCCGTTTGATCGTTGTCTTTTAGCGAAGTGGCGCAAATTTCGTTTCCGATCATTATTTTCAACACCCTGCAGTCGGAAACAGGCACCAGGGTCAGTTCGGCCACTTTCAGATCGTCGGAGAAAATTCTTTCCTCACGGTCTAAATTGACGGCTCCGTACCCCGATGCAGGTTGTCTTCTCCGAATTGACTTTATCCAGGATTTTCTTCGTACCGGCTGAATCCACTGCCGGGAACACAGATGGCATGAGCGTTTCCGTCGAGATGATCGTGGTTTCCAAAAGACAGTTTAAAGCCGGATGTTCTTGTCGGGCAGGGATTTGGTCACAGGGAGCTGAGCGGGTAATGCAGGAGTGGAAAGTTGATTTGAATAGAATGGCCTGGATAATGTAACAACGATGATGGGTGTTAATCGCCTGGTAATGGAAGGAACCAAGAAAATATAGACTTCGGGAAGAGGGATAGAGTCAGGACAGGTCCAAATAAGTCTGAGATACCCTGGACCCCCGGGGGATGCCGAATATAAACCTCACACAACAGTTCATTAATCTCTTTAGCCGCTCATTTTGCTCCCCCGAAAGCCCACCGTAAGCAAAACAGCTGTAGTCGAAGAAGGGAAAGATGAGGGAGTTTACTCTGAAGAAGGAAATTCTACAGTATTAGTTAAACGGTTTTAATAACTCCATTTATAACTCCATATAAATCGATTTACATGTCGATTTATTAATCCATTTATGTTTAGTGGTCTAAATGACCATATTACTTATCTCAATGAATTATTCTTTTTACATAAGTTCTTGTTTGAGGTGAAAACTCATTGTCACGAGCGGGATTCGAACACACGACTTTCGGTTGAATACGCCGCTGCTCTAAGCTTGAGCTATTGTGACTTCGAAGCCGAATTTCGTGGGTTCGAATCCCGCTCGTGACCCGATTTTTTCATATCAACCATGACCTTACGTAAAAAGAATCATTTCCATAATATTGCAAAAGTGAGTTATAAATAGCAACGTTCCGTTACTTATCGAAGAATTCATAATACTAACGGAATTTACTGCGGACATTTTGAAAGACTATTTTTTTTTAACTAATACTTCCCTTGTTCACGAAGAGAGATTTTGTAAAATATATAATTACATGTCGAAACAAATGGTGATAATTACACAAATGTTTACTAATTTAAATAGCCAATCATCGATTTTTTTAAATCTTCCCCACAAGTGTATCATGGCCAGCAGAAGGAAATGAAGAGCAAGAAGAGGAAGATAGCTGGATGCAATTGAAACGTTGATCCCATGTCTCCAAGTTCGAAATATTCCATGTAAGGTCCGAATAGAGTAAATGCCATAAAATGCACGTCTTTTCCGTCTTGTATCAATTTGACTCTTCCTTTGACCATTCCTATGATGTACCCGCCGCACAAGAACGACGATCCTGTGTCGCCTGGAGTCGTCCGACCGCCGTCCTGTGGCGATGAGGCGCAAATTTCGTGTCCGACCATATCGTCGACAACATCGCACACTTTGTCCGGAGCCATGTAGACTTCGACCACTTTTAACACATCGGAGTCTACTCTTTGCGAGTCGGCCGTGATGCCTCCAAATCCCGTTGCGAGGCAGCCAGCATTTGTTGCATTGATTTCATTCATTATTTTCTTCATTCCTTCCCAATCGTCTGCCGGTAAGACCGCCGGTTTCACAACTTCCGAATTGTAGAATGGAGTTTTCAAATGTCCCACCGCGACATCGTAAAGTGTCGAAACGGTGTATGTGAACATGGTACTTATCCAAGTGCGTCTCCTGCTTCTCGGGGGTCTTGGTCTGAAGGTTCACGACGCCTGCGGTTACTATGACGTTAACGCTTGCTACGGGCTTTGCATCGACAAAAAAACAACGAGCCGCTGAGATAATCTTGCTCAACGATATAATGGTACCTCCGCATCGTTTCGCACCGCTGAGTACCACCGTCGCTGGAAATTCGCCTCTCCTGGCATCTCTACCACCTATGATTTTCCCGCCCCCTCCGTCAGCCTTCACAAGCCTACTGCAAGTGCTCATGCATAAAATAAACAACAACAACTCTACAAAGCCTCTGCTATTGAACAGCTGACAAGTATTTCCGTGCCAGAACATTGTGTAATCAAAACTATCCTTGTAATCCTTTAAAAATCAAAATAAAATGGTTTTAAGAAAAATCCTTATTACAACGATTCATTACCTTTGCGAGTTATGGCACAACGTAAAGAATTAAATAAAGGAAAGATTTAAAAATGATAAAAAACACATACAATTTTGATAAAACCTAATCCAAAATTATTTCTCGGAAATTTTACTATTTATAAAGTAACATGTGTTTACCTAAAATCAAATAAGTCAATTCTCTAATTGTTCATCTTGATGCTGGATTAAGACAGAGGCTATAAGTTACCCAATGAATTTTGGTTGTTGAGTGCGTGTATTTATCAGTGCGTGTGTTTGGGGTCAATGGCGGAATATTTAAAAAGGACCTTAGATTATTTGATTAATATTGTACGTAGGTCGATGGAGGAATATCGAGTACTCCACCAAGCCTACCATTTCGGGTAATAAACCGCAATCTCCATCCGGCAACAGTTGAATTTCAAGAACTTTCAAACTGAACGAGACAGAGTCTACAGGGTTGTCAAAGTCGATAGCACCGTAGCCCGCGGCGAGGCACGTCTGCTTTGTTTGTATGACATTATCTACAAATGCCTTCATTCCTGCTTCGTTGTTTGCAGGGAAGACCGCAGGCGACAGAGTTTGTTTTCCAAGTGAGAGTGTATTTTGTTTGCTTAAGATTATAATAAAATATCAAATGAATATCATAGCATTTTCCATGCTCTTTCTAATGACATCATCAAATTTACAGTTCATTTAACATTTCATGAGATATGGGTGACTATGAAATAAAGTTGTGAAATGTCCAAGTAACCTGAAAAGTGAAATATCTCCAATACATTCAGAAGCAGACTTATGTATAATATCAGTACTTATGTAGGATACGATAACATCATGAAGTATTGACATCTCTTCAAGGGTCACCTTGTGTTTGAACATGAACAGGATATGGTTTCATGTGTTTTATTTTGAGACTTCACATGTTCGTAGATTATAAAGAATAAACACAAAAATTTTAATTACTTTGTTTGAAATGCAAAATTTTTAGTGTTTTTTTCCCAAGAAGCTTGTAAGGTTTGCGTTGTTTATTAGCCCTTGAAAGTAATAAATCCAAATGTTAATAACTATTTATTTACATAATATTTTTAGGTGAGTGTGACCAACGAGTTTCAATGCATTATGTACTTGTTCGGATATGATTGTCGGTTTAACAGCCGTGCCGCAGGAGAGTTGTTGTTTATTATATTCCTCAGCGATTGCTGTTCGCTTGCTTCAAGTGAGGCCGGCTCTAAAATCATAGAAGGCAGATACGCAAGACGTGGCGAATTTCCAGCCACGGTTGTTTTCGAGGGCGCGAAGAAATGCGGAGGTACGCTCGTGACATTGAGCAAGGTCCTTACAGCGGGTCGCTGTTTTTTTGCAGACGATAAACCTGTGGAGGCGAAGAGTATCAAAGTGACTGGAGGCATCTTGAACCTGAAGGAGAATTCAAACGAAAAACAGCAGTCGCTCTTAAAATCATACCAGGTTCACGAAAAATACAAAAGTGCCCCAACTGATCAAATCCCTTACATCTTTTTCGACATTGCATTGGCGGTTTTGGAAACTCCGTTCGTCAAAACGGATACGGTCCAACCAGCGGTTTTCCCGGCAAAGGATCCAGGAGGGATGAGGAAAATCCTAGACAAAATCTTAGCTGAAAATAAGACTTGCCAAGCCACAGGATACGGCGCTACTAAAGAAGGCGGTACAGACGTCGATACTTTGAAAGTAGCCAAAGTGTACCTCGTTGATTCGACGGCGTGCAGGTTGAGAGAGGAGTCGCTGGCATACGAAGTATGTACAACTCCTACTAATGGACAAGATAGAACCGCCCCAGGGGATACTGGATCGACGTTCTTGTGTGACGGGTACATCCTAGGCATGAACAAAGGTCGAAACAAAATGACTAGAAATGGGGTGGAGTACCATTTTATGATATGCACGCTAATCGGTCCTTTCATGGATTATTTCAAGCTTGGGATTGATGAAGGACAAACATCTCAATTGCACCCTGCTGTCTTCCTCTTTTTGCTCATCATCTCATTCCATGAAGTTGACGCATTATTCTTGTCGTAAATACTGTTTTATACTAAAAATTGAAACCAATTAAATTAGAAACATTTGTAAATAAATGATCGACCCTAGATATTTTGAATTTCAAAACATTTGTATTACTAACATTTGGCGCTTTTATTGCCATATGTTACCGTGCTTGCTCAAGTACATTTCCTATATAAGTAGCATTACTACATACACTCTATAAGGAGCCAAGGAATGATACCGTTGATTTAGGTTGGACTCATCAACACCTTTTCTCTCCATGACCAGGACAACCATCGCCGTTTTGCCGAAACTGTCCAGTTCAGAGAATTTTTCCAACAAGAGCAAGACGAGAGGAACGAAACCTATCACCAACAGCAGTAACCGCACGAAAACCACACTACCGGCGTTCCTCGAAGCAAGTTCCAAAATCGCACACCTTTAATAAAATTATAATATTAATTGTATTATTAATAGTCCTTAAATAAGCGAGCCTATAAATCAGAGGTTCCGCAAGACCATCCTCACCCGATTAGGAATAGGCCATGCAAGATTGACACCCGGACATTTAATTTTGAGCCGAAGCCCGTGAATGTAGAGAAAGGGTCCTCGTTGCATAATTGAACAGTGTCACTCCTTAGCCCATAAACGTAGAGTGTAGGAATACCACCCGATATGGCAATTGTGCTTGGGCATGGCAACAGGCACGGCAGTGAATATTATATTTCTTCGTGTATATTGTGACTGAATGTATCTAGTTTTGGTTTGAATCTGTTGAGAAGAAAGAGGTGGAATGTTTTCCTGTGTTCAATGTTTCGGAGATGTCCTTTGGGAGCTACTTCCCAACAGCTCGAGATACTGCAAGACCGTGAATGGGCGGTGAAACCGTTTCAGTTTCGAAAAGCCAACCAATCTATTTCCAAGTGAATACAAACGTTTGATAGGCGTTCTTCAGACTCCACCTTGATATCTACTTTAGAATACCCCATTTTTCCTCCGTATGGAAAACAAAAAAATTCAACTTCTCGTTTAAAAAGCAAAACGTGTTCTTCCATTTGCCACACTTACCTATACGAATTTGGATTGTCTATCTATAAAGCAACCAAAATTAAATACCGAGGCTGTCCGGATGCTGAACACCGACGTCTGTCTCCAGCTATCAACTAAACCCAACATGTCCAAATTGTGAAGGCTAAAACATCCACACCCTTCCCATTAATTCATTGACCATTAACGTTCAAATTATTACTTGGGATTTTGACTAGAGTTTTACATATTAGTTCCGTTCTGTCCAATTTGATTTTTCTGTTCAGGATTTTGTAAATAAAGTTAAGTATGTCAATCTAATGTTTGTTTTCATAGTGATATCCACTCCTTCACCTAATTAGGAATGGACTGGCTAATTTATAAAACTTTAATTTACTACATACCACAAGTATCTAATTTTAAATACTTGAACGAGAAGTGTCTGCCTTGGATTTTGTTCTGTGAAAGGGGTCCGCTGGATAAAAATTTGGGAAGCCTTGCCGTAGTCTAATATGCCTACATTTCTGCCAAAAATATGGAGGGATGTGAGTGAGGTGGAATAGCCGTTTATGTTTGTTTGCTGGATCATATAATGTTCAGAATTTTCTGCCCTTTAAAAACTGATCCATCCGGACAAAAACTTTAAGGATCCATTTGGTGTAGAGGCTATGTAATTCATCACGAATTCTTCGATTAACAGTTTTGAGGGGGGGGGCTTTTAATATTGTTTATTTTCTAGAGATTTGATTGGAGGCTTTTGTGTTTCATTTTCTTTTAACTAACACCGTTCTAATTTTCCTTGTTTTTTCTGACCATAGATTTATTGATTGATAGCTTATATATCTGAATAAATAAGTAATTTTATACTATTAGTCACTAGAGTTAATTAACAACTCAGAATATGAATAGTTTTAGGTGTTGAGATTGACATAGCTAAAGACGATGAACAGAAAAAATCAGTCAAGACACATAGATATAATATACCGTGTGTTTCATTTTTCGTCGCACCAGCAAAAAATGTCTGTTTCACTCTCACTCTCCTCTCCCTCTTTATTTTTCTCTTATCAGCAGATTAACCAGTTACATGTTAGTTTTAATTATTTTACTTTCTGCTTCAACGCGCAAAATAAAAAACTTAAACTCACACACGGGAATCTGTTTCCTGGAGGGTGTTATGACCCAACACCAGAGGTCCCTTTTCTCTCTAAAAAGGGAGAAAGGAGTAGTCAAATTAAATCACAAGAAATGAATTTTACCAAATAATAAGTACATATATTTTATAAAAAGAAATAAAACATAATGATATATGTTTGAGCGTTCTCCTGATGTATCATTTCGCACCAACGTCTAGCACACACCTGCCTATCTTATTAATCCCGCAATCTTCTCCTATACGGTCCTTGTGACGTCGGGGGGAGGAGCCTCAGGCGCGGCAAACCTCCGACGACATTTCAATCTATGATTAGCATTTATTATGTACGCCAATGCATGTCGCCCCATAGGTGACGACGATATAACGAATTTTTCTAAGCGAAAAGTTTGTAAGACTCTTTGCTGGGTTCTCTCTCTCTCTCTCTCTCTCTCTCTCTCTCTCTCTCTCTCTCTCTCTCTCTCTCTCTCTGAACCAGTTCCATTAATCGGTTTCCTGAAGATTTTCAAAATGTGAACCAACGGTTGCTATAACAAAACGCATGTGAAACAATAACTCCCATTCAAATTTACTAAGTCCAGGGACCATTTCATGATCGGCAGAAGGAAGGTGGTGTTGGCGCAGAAGGAAATTTGTTCGAAAACCTCACGTGAATCAATGAATGTACTACTTGTGTGAAAGTTCCTTCTCACTTAAGTAACAGTTCAAGGGACTTAAAAGAACTCTCAGTTTAAAACGAAAAATTAACATTATTTTCATTTTAATTTTCTTTATACGTGACATTTCTATTTGTATTTAATTGAACATAGCTCTATTCCTTATAAAAAAGGACAAAATACAAACAATTTAACAGGTATCGCTTTTTTATGTTTCACTGAAAAATAAAACACTGCTACACATATTGCACGGCCGTTGCAATAATCAAACCAACATGAATTTTTTACTGTTGCGACGAAAAATGAAACACGGTATAATCACATACTCATATTGTCTATTTAATTAGATGTCTAAGTATTTATCTACTCACTCACACTCTATATGTGTATCTATTTATTTGGCCCGTTCTATCTTCGCTCATGCTCTTATCGTTCTCTCCCTCCTCGCTCCCTCCGTCTCTCTATCTGCCTCTCTTAAGTATTTTCATTAAATTATTAATTTTATGATTGAGCTTTTTATCTTTCTGAGAGTAATGTAAATTTATCGTTTGAATTCTTATCTGTTTACATCGAGCATGGTTATCATTACAGTTCTCATCATGTGTTAGCACTAGCGTGTAAGTAGTACTTTCTTCATCATTTTTTTATATGGCTAGTGTCACTATAAAAACGACCTTATTCGACTTAAGCGAAATCTATGAGGAAAGCTTTTTGTCTAATGTTTCAGTTTAACTACTTTCGGATAAACGTTTCTAATCGACGATTATTACTACTGCAAAAAAATAATCTTTAAAAAAATTAACAAATGTATAAAATATGGATGCATTTTTTCTTTAAACAGCTGGTAATAAGTGCTCATAAGAGGAATGCGTCAGTTTTGCGGCCAGCAGAACAAGAAGAACCAGCAGAGAAAAGTAGCTGGATGCAATTGGTATTGTGTCCCTTCGTTCCCACCGAGGCTGAAATATTCCATGTAAGGTCCGAACAACGTGTACACTAAGTAGCATATTTCTTTCCCGTCTTTTGTATATCTGTTCCTTCCTTTGGCCATGCCCAAAATGTACCCGCCGCACATGAACGTCGACCCGGTATCACCTGGGGCCGTTTGATCGTTGTCTTTTAGGGAAGTGGCGCAAATTTCGTTTCCGATCATTATTTTCAACACCCTGCAGTCGGAAACAGGCACCAGGGTCAGTTCGGCTACTTTCAGATCGTCGGAGAAGACTCTTTCCTCACGGTCTAAATTGACGGCACCGTACCCCGTCCCGATGCAGGTTGTCTTCTCCGAATTGACTTTATCCAGGATTTTCTTCATACCGGCTGAATCCGCTGCCGGGAACACAGCTGGCTTGAGCGTTTCCGTCGAGATGAACGGGGTTTCCAAAGTCGCCAACGCGATGTCGAAAATGGTGTAAGAGGACGCACCTGCTACCAATTTTTTGTATTTTTCGTGAACTTTGTATTCTTTAACGCGTGACTCCTGCTTATCGGTTGACTTCTCTTTAATGTTTACGACGCCTCCGATCACCGTGATGCTCTTGGCTTCCACGCGCTTGCCGTCAATGACAAAACATCCACCCGCCGATAGGAATGTGCTCAAAGTCACAAGTGTACCTCCGCACCTACCGGGACCCTCGACAAACAATGTAGCTGGGAATTCGCCCCGTTTCGCTATTCTACCACCTACGATTTTGCCTTCATCACTTGAAACAAATCGACCGCAGCTGGTGATCAAGAAAATAAACCATAACTCTAAGGCTCTGATGTTCAACTGATTACGATGATTATACATATACCAGTACATTATGTTATTCTCTGGTTATATTCGACTCATAACTTGTATCCCTTCAACAATTAAATCATTAAAATAGTCTCACACCCCGACTTACTACTTCCAAGAGTTATTGAACAACCCATATCTATTTAGAGAAGCTTCAGGACGAAAAAATAGAACTTAAAATTTTGACAACGTAACCAAAATACTTCCAATTTTGAGTAGTACTGTTTATAATGAAACATGTGGTTTCTTTTTAATAAGATCGTATCTAGCAGGATAGCCAACGCTCAGTACGTACTTTTCGGTAGGGGGATGGATCACAAATTCCAGGGGCGACCGTTGGAATTGAATCCAAGATTCAGGGCCTACGAGCTGAGAGTACACTCAGCTACTGCGTTTTTTAATTTATCTTCTATATTTATTTTTTAGACTGCTTATTCAACGTACATTTCAAATAATTCCTGTACCAGAATCTAAGCTGTAATGTACAACAATCAATTTTTTAAATCTACACGAATCACTAAATCTATATAAGAATCCCTACTACGTTTATCCATCTAACTGCATCATTATCATCTTTGTATCCGCTTACTAAGATATATTTGTCGTTTGTATAAATATTTTTTCCTCTATCTCTGTTATATAACAGAATGTTTCCAACCTTCGGACTCTATGAGACATCCAACAAGAAAAAACCGCAGAAAATGAAAAAAAAGTTTTATATCTTATAGAGTCGTCGTACCCGCTAATTATTTATGTATATTTTCACCACATCAATAGTTTGTAATCTGTCAAGCTGTACAGGGTGTCCCAGGGAAGATGTGCAACTTCGTAACCATTCGTAATAAAGTCTAATTTTTATTATTTTTAAGTAAGTTTTTACATTTCATCGGTTCTAGAAATAACTTTTTGGTTCGTAAAAACGCACTTCGTAACTTTTTTTTAGATTTACCATTATATTTTTTCGGATTTCAAAACTAGATCATTTTTCATTTTTTTTCGCGTTGGTCCGGGTTCAATATCTTAATTTTTATAGAAGTAGATAGATTTCATCGCACATGTTTTGGTCCTGAAAGAAGACCATCCCGGATTTTTAAAATACATCCTTTGGTCAGAGTTCATCACTCAAAAAGCTGACAAGTTTAGGAAGGTGGGGATTACAAAATTACATGGAAGTAGAACAAAATGTATTTTTGCCTCTGTTTACAAGTACCTGAGATTTTCATTGAATTCACCATCAAAATCGCCAATGACTTATTGAACAACTAGAAGGTGCATAAAATTGCAGGCATTTCAGTTGTTGAAACATTAAAATTCTAAATAAAAAAGTCTATTTTAAAATACTATTTTTGCAAATTTACCTTGTATACTAAAACGACACGAAGATTTGTAAGATAATCTGTATTTGCACAAAATTACGAGCGTGTTTTCACTAGTGTTATTTTCTATGAAAAAATAATTTATTCTCGATCAGGACTATCCCCTTGGAATAATATATAGATGAAAGAAAAATTATGAATTTTGACGCGAAAATAAACTTTGTCGGGATGATCAACGCAATAAGATCGGGCTTATATAAAACAAAACCCAAAGGAGTTAAAACTAAATGAATAACTATGAAAATTAACATAGACAAGTAATAATAACTGAGTAAATTTAATTTGTGTTAAATAGACCCTATTTGGAGGGAGTGGAGGTGCATGTACGGCAGATTGTTAAAAGAGGTAAGGGAAGCGGTATTGCGGATAGTTAGAGTGAGGTAGTGCCAGAATTTTGGTTCTCGGACAAGAAAAGACCCGCCGCACATGAACGTCGACCCGGTATCGCCTGGGGCCGTTTGATCGTTGTCTTTTAGCGAAGTGGTGCAAATTTCGTTTCCGATCATTATTTTCAACACCCTGCAGTCGGAAACAGGCACCAGGGTCAGTTCGGTCACTTTCAGATTATCGGAGAAGATTCTTTCCTCACGGTCTAAATTGACGGCACCGTACGCCGATGCAGGTTGTTTTCACCGAATTGACTTTATCCAGGATTTTCTTCATACCGGCTGAATCCCCTGCCGGGAACACAGATGGCTTGAGCGTTTCCGTCGAGATGATCGTGGTTTCCAAAAGACAGTTTAAAGGTGGATGTTTTATGCCGGACAAGGGTTTGGTTACAGGGAGCTGAGCGGGTAATGCAGGAGTGGAAAGTTGATTTGAATAGAATGGCCTGGATAATGTAACAAGGATGATGAGTGTTAATCCTGGAAAAGGAAGGAACCAAGAAAATATAGACTTCGGGAAGAGGGATAAAGTCAGGACAGGTTCAAATAAATCTGAGATACCCTGGACCCCCGGGGATGCCGAATATAAACCTTACACAACAGTTCATTAATCTGAAGGGAAAGATGAGGGAGTTTACTCTTAAGAAGGAAATTCTACAGTATTAGTTAAACGGTTTTATAACTCCATGTAAATCGATTTATTAATCCATTTATTTAGTGGTCTAATTCACCAAATTACTTATTTCAATGAATTATTCTTTGTAAGGTCTTGGTTGAGGTGAAAAAGTCATTGCCACGAGCGGGAGTCGAACCGACGACTTACGGTTGAATACGCCACTGCTCTAACCACTTGAGCTATCGTGACTTGAAAGCAGAATTTCGTGGGTTCGAATCCCGCTCGTGACACCGATTTTTTCATATCAGCCATGACCTTACGTAAAAAGAATCATTTCCATAATATTGCAAAAGACAGTTATAAATAGCAACGTTCTGTTACTTATCGATGAATTCATAATACTAACGGAATTTACTGTGTACATTTTGAAAGAGTATTTTTTTTTACTAATATTTCCGTTGTTCACGAAGAGAGATTTTGTAAAATATATAATTTACATGTCGAAACAAATGGCTATAATTATACAAATGTTTACTAATTTAAACAGCCAATCATCGATTTTTTTAAATCTTCCCCACAAGTGTATCATGGCCAGCAGAAGGAAATGAAGAGCATGAAGAGGAAGATAGCTGGATGCAATTGAAACGTTGATCCCATGTCTCCAAGTTCGAAATATTCCATGTAAGGTCCGAATAGAGTAAATGCCATAAAATGCACGTCTTTTCCGTCTTGTATCAATTTGACTCTTCCTTTGACCATTCCTATGATGTACCCGCCGCACAAGAACGACGATCCTGTGTCGCCTGGAGTCGTCCGACCGCCGTCCTGTGGCGATGAGGCGCAAATTTCGTGTCCGACCATATCGTCGACAACATCGCACACTTTGTCCGGAGCCATGTAGACTTCGACCACTTTTAACACATCGGAGTCTACTCTTTGCGAGTCGGCCGTGATACCTCCAAATCCCGTTGCGAGGCAGACAGCATTTGTTGCATTGATTTCATTCATTATTTTCTTCATTCCTTCCCAATCGTCTGCCGGTAAGACCGCCGGTTTCACAACTTCCGAATTGTAGAATGGAGTTTTCAAATGTCCCACCGCGACATCGTAAAGTGTCGAAACGGTGTATGTCTCTTTCACACTTTTGTACTTTTCGTGAACATGGTACTTTTCCAAGTGCGTCTCCTGCTTCTCGGGGGTCTTGGTCTGAAGGTTCACGACGCCTGCGGTTACTATGACGTTAACGCTTGCCACGGGCTTTGCATCGACAAAAAAACAACGAGCCGCTGAGATAATCTTGCTCAACGATATAATGGTACCTCCGCATCGTTTCGCACCGCTAAGTACCACCGTCGCTGGAAATTCGCCCCTCATGGCATCTCTACCGCCAATGACTTTCCCGCCCTCTCCATCAGCCTTCACAAGCCTACTGCATGTGCTCATGCATAAAATAAACAACAAGTTTACAAAGCATCTGCTATTGAACAGCTGACAAGTATTTCCATGCCAGAACATTGTGTAATCAAAACTATCCTTGTAATCCTTTATAAATCAAAATAAAATATTTTCAAGAAAAATCCTTTGTACAACGATTCATTACCTTTGCGAGTTATGGCACAACGTAAATAATTAAATAAGGGAAAGATTTAAAAATGATAAAAAACACATACAATTTTGATAAAACCTAATCCAAAATTATTTCTCGGAAATTTTATTATCTATAAAGTAACATGTGTTTTCTTAAAATCAAATAAGTCAATTCTCTAATTGTTCATCTTGATGCTGGATTAAGACAGAGGAGTTACCTAATGAGCTTTGATTGTTGAGTGCGTGTATTTATTAGTGTGAGTGGTTAAGGTGCCGTGTTTCACCTTCGCCCCTCCATCAATGGGTGTGTTTAGGGTCAATGGCGGCCTGGGCAACCCACCAAGAAAATCCATTTTGTTTTTATAATAAAAAAAGGTTCATTAGTTGTTTCATTAAAAACAACGCACACCACCTTCTTAAATGGACTATCACTATCAAGTCATTTTTATCTAGCCATAACCACAATTTTATTGTTTATGAAATCGTCCGTTGTATGGAAGCTCAGATTGAAGGATGAACCATTGAGACTGGAGAATTATTCATTGCACGGAACACTTTTCTTTTCCCCACGAAAATCTATATATATGTATATATATATATATTTTTTTTTTCTTCACATAAAGAAGTCCAACTCATTCAATCCTCGATGGGAATAACTTCTTCAATGAAAGTGGAGCGCACTTTGACTTTCTCTTAAACTACGATTCGAAGTTGTTAATCATTCGCATAATGGGACTAAGTTGAAGAGCTGGCTGAAATTTCATTGACGGATTCCATAAAACTCCCGTTTCTGAAGCCGTACATAACAAAAACGCCTATGTGGAGGCGTACATATCCCGAGTATATCACGTAGGACCCCTCCTTCTCACCGGATCTGTCGTTTATGTTCGCGACTTTTCCGATTATAAAGACGCGCCTGGGATAAACATTGAATCATCGAATTTGAAATCATCGAATGACCCTGTCCAACTGTCAATCACGAGATGCCGTCGAAACAAACCGTTGCTGTAAATTCACCTGCATGATAAACTTTCCTCCAATAATACAGGCAAGTAAATGGTCCTGATAAATAAATGAACAAATCTCTTGTTTGAAATTTGAAAATAAAAATATATCCATATCTAATAATTTAAAAAATAATAACAATCTAGCTCTAGAATTAGCCAGGGTGATACATCTAGGCTATGTGTCACTGCTAAATAGGTTGTTACGTTCGTAACAGAGTATGTTTGCATTATTATTATTTAACCGGGGATGCCTCCTAAATTATAATGCCTCCTAAACTAAAGTTGCCGGTGGGTCAATCAAAATTAAGACGGCCTAGGGGAGTGTAGAGGGGTGAGTTGAAGAGAGGAGAGTGCGTCGAGACGGAGATCCCTACGGCCTGGCCGGATCATAGAAAATCATCAATTCCTTGATCAACGAAGGACCCACTCAACTTCAGACAAGGTGCTCCACATTTTTCTTGAAGTGGGGATTTTCAATCGTTTGGAAAAAGAAGCATAGATGCACACTGGTTCCCAGGAAAGTTGAGTTTTTAATGGATGTTTATTTAGATTTTAAGATAATTTAGGTTCATTTAGTGTGTAAGTTTGTTAAAATGTTTTTGTATTCAGTATTTCTACTCACTCAACGTGTTTGAATACCATAAACACTTTGAGTGAGTAGAAATACTTTGATTGAATATAAAAAATATATTTTGAATTGTATAAATTCACTTTTTTCCACATCCTACATGTATTTGTTAAATTTAAACAATGTTTGTAAATCCCAGATCCTGAAGATGATCTCAATAAAGATCGAAACGTTGGCACGATAAAGAAAATGTTTTTCTGAAACCTACATCACACCAGACCGTATCTCACGATTTCTGAATAATTATAACTATAAAAAATAATTTTATAATCTAGATGTAGTCTGTCTTGAACAGTCGGTATAACACCCATTATCGTTCTCTATGCAATGTCAAAATTAATGATTAATATTCACATTAACAAATTAGGCTAATTGCATAACTTCGGTTCGCTATAAATAAATTTTCCGTACTTATTTTAACAAAAAGAAAGCTCTAAGGCTCGTAATATCCTATTACTTTTTTAGTTAACTACCCTGACTTCTGTCAAACCAAAATGTTTATCGAAATATCTCTTGAATTCAGACTTAGAAAGCTAATATTATTAGACTTAAATTGTGCTTATTTAAAAAACAAAATAGGGAAAATTTTTATGTTCTGTATAGAAAGTTTCAGATTAGAGAATCTCTTCACAAGTAGTTATTGTTTTACTATATTACGATTATGTTATTTTGATTGATTATTATATTTTTCTTTGACTATTTTATTTGACATATATGTTTAATATAATCTCATTGCATGTACATTTCAATGAAATTTGAAGATTTTATCTTTTATGTTAGTTTTCTTTGCATCACTTATTTTATTTTTGCTTTATGTTCATATATGTTTTAGTAACAACTATAACTGAATAATTATAAATAAATGAATGAAGATTGTTTTGAAAGCTGTTTGTTGGGCAATGAAGGATAATAAATTTTTATTTATGGAGTATTACAGAAATGTGATAGCTTTTTACTATGTATGTGTTTTGTTTTAATACCATGTGTTTTTAAGGCTAGCGAATTCCCAATTCTTCATCCATTGGGACTACCGTTTTTCAAGCTTAGTTTATGTTTACAGTAATCAAAATGTTTAACACAGTTTATACAGTAATTTGCTTAGAGGTTTTACAAGAGAATGTTATTCTAGCTGGAACAGAGGTCAATCAGTGAAAATTTTAAAATATTACTAATTACTCCTTAGGTTAACATTTATGTCTTGTGGAAAAACATATTTGTTTTGTTAATTTACAGGCAGAAGAGCGCCGTTTATGGAAACGTGCCAGCAGACGAGTAAGCATAGAAAGATAACTTGATAGAACTGAAAACTAGGACTCCCTTCGTTCACCTCAAGATCAAAATAGTCAATATAAGGGCCGATCAGTGTAAAAATTAAGGTACTTATATTTTTCCCTTTTGTTAAGAAACTTGATCTACCTTTTGCCATACCGATGACGAAGCCGTCGCAATAAAACGTCGATCCGGAGTCGCCTGGAGCCGTTCTATGGCTTAAACCGATAGAAGTGGCGCAAACTTCTTTTCCAATCATTTCGGTTTCCAGTGCACACTCGTCATCCGGCAACAGGCGCAATTCGGCCACTTTCAAATTGTCTGACAATATTTTTTTTCTGCCTTTCTTGGCCCAGACTCCGTATCCCGTGGCGAAGCAGCTCGCCCCCTTAGCCCTGACTTTATCCAGAAAATGTTTCATACCCTCAGCATCTTTTGCCGGGAAGAGCGCGGGTTTGACTGTTTCCGTTACGACGAAAGGGGATTCCAAAAACGCCAACGCGATGTCGTAGAGGGTGTAGACGTCGAAAATGATCTGCCGTCTCTCGAACTTTTCGTGAATAATGAAGTCCCTCACGTACGACAACTGTTCTTCACCGGATCTCTCGTTCAAATTCACGACTCCTCCGATTATTATGATGTCGTTGGGATGAAGGTGCCCTTTGTGTCTAATGAAACAGTGGGCTGCTGAAATGACTGCTTCCAACGTCACAAGCGTACCTCCGCATCGTGAGAAGCCGTCGTAACACACCGTCGCTGGGAATTCGCCCCTTTTGGCTTTTCTTCCTCCTATGATTTTTATGATGCCTGAAGCAGGGCAATAGTAATCGCTGATAAATAAAATGAACAATGACAACTCCATCAGTGATTTGCAATTGAGCTGGCGACGAAGATTTCCTCGCCAATACATACTGTACAACATACTGTTAAAATATAACAACATAAAATGAAATGTTTTTAAACGTTTGTCGTTTTAGTATGTATATTATAACATGTGATCATTCAAAATAAAACAGGTGAAGTCCTTTGTACAAATCTTACGATTACAATCAATAATTTTTTTTAAGTTTTATTTGTATCGTGTATATCATACATTTTACAAATTTGTACTTTGCTACCAACACCCGTCACTAAAACCAACCCTACCGCCAGCAATGCACTCGGAGGGTTCGTGTTATAAGAAGCCAGCCAATACGTGGGCAGGTTGGTTTATTAATGTGAACGAAATTTGGGGGTACTTGTCCTTGTTTAGTTCCATACTTCACGTCATATACCACTTAATTGCTGTCGGATTAAGGTGAGGGGTCTCAGTGCCATCGTCGTTTGTGGCGACGTGGTGGGTTAGTTGTGGTGTAGTCTATGAGTGTAGTAGAAAGGGCTTGAGCAGTAGGATGGTTAATTATATTGCATTGAAGCTTGAAGAAGCGAGTACAGCTCAATTCTTCAACTAAGCGAATTAGATTATTAAGAATGGAATTAAGATCATTGTGGATTATGAGATTAGAAACGTAGTAAAGAACTTGGAGAATTCTTCTTAGGACTTTTAATTGGAAGCTTAGAATAGTTTAATACAGATGGCTTGGTGGTAATCCCTAGTTCCGTATGTCGAATAGGTCGAAGGAATGTATTGAAGTGTTCATTTTGTCTTATTGCGGTCCGGGACCCCTTCGTAGTTGTCTGTAAAATTAGCAGCTTTAGTCTTGTGTGAGGATTCACGCCAGTCTGTCTAACCATAGCCCTAAATATACGTGGGCAGGTTTGTTAGCTTGAACGTAATTTGGGTGCATTTGTCCTTGTTTAGTTTCATATTCCCCGTTTAACACCATTATTTAATGACACTAAAATATGCTCCTGGATATTGGAGTTGGCTTGGGTATGACCAATCATAAGGGGTGAGATAAAATAGAGGTATCATCCGTGTTGGTCGTTAAGATGGCGTGCGGATGTATCGCAGTATAAATTGTGTATAGGATGGGACCAACATGCTCCCTTGTGGGACGCCGGTTTGAAACGGTCTTGTCTCAAAGAATTCGCTACCGCACGGTGAAGTAACGGTCTATTAGATATCATTTTAAGATTAGGCAATAAGAATTGGGTAGGAAGTGCTTTAGTTTGAAGAGAACTACGGGGTGCCAGACTCTGTCAAAAGCTTGGTACATGTCTAACAACACACCTTTAAAGAACAGGAAATATTGTCATCAACCCTGAGCAATCCTGGGTCCTAGAATGTCGAGGAGGGAAATCGAAACGGTTTTGGGAAAATTTAGGATGAGAATTGGTGTTTTGAAAGGCGTCTTTCAAAGATTTTGTACATTACTGGGAGAAAGGCTGTACCAAGGAATACTAAAAGTTAAGCTTATTAGACTAAATTCTATTCCGGAAACTCATCTTTGCGTTTCAGCCAATTTCTATGTAACTTAAGTTTATGATATCCCAACATTGAAAACGGTGTTCACCAAATATGTAGATCATACTTAAAATATAGTGAGAAGGGGTAATATGACAAATTGATCCTGATAAATGCCATTCGTAAAAATGTGTTGTGAGAAAAGTTAAGGTCATATATTTGACAAATTCAACATAAAAAAAAGAGAAAACCCGAAATGATAAGGATAATTAATTGGAATAAAAAAGAGTCTACTTGAAATTGTACATGATCGCTAGATCAAAATTGAGGCTTAGTTAAACGTACAAAGGCGCGCCAACTTCACACACAAATTCACATCTACTTCTTTCGAAATTGATCCAAAAATAACAACTACAAAGAGTAAAAGAACAAATTTGCTAATCTTTTGAAGAAAAGACCCATCGTCACTTTTTTCTATTCGGAAAAGCTGTTGAATCTTGACTACGTTCAACCTGGGGCCCGTTTCTGTTCCTTCCCTACCTCGTAGTTTCGGCCCATTTCAACGTCTGCGAGGGGTTTTCCAGATCCGCCAATCGTAAATGTGTTCTTTGTCCTACAGTCTGCATATTACAACGTAAACATCAATCGTTGATCATTTGGACCATTAATCTCGATCAAAGAAACAGCTTCAAAATTTCCTCAATTTTCAATTATGTTTAGATGAGGCCACCTTGATAGGTTTCAACCTATCATCAATACATCAATTTCTTATATACAAAAATACACATATATACTATTATATACGTCTCCAACTGAAGTGCGATGTTTTAGAAACAGGAAATCAGTTGGAGCGTGCTATAATCAGTAATTAACCAAACGGTAATATTTGTTATAAACAAGAAAGTTATGAGAGTGCAAAAAGATCATGTGTTTCATTTTTTTTGTAGTATATGTTATCCAAAGAGGGAATGGACCATCTTCACGAACAGTAGAGCCATTTGAAGAGCAAGCAGAGAGATGATAACTGGATGCATCTGGATATAAGCTGCACCTTCGGTCAACAGGTCCAAATCAAAATATTCGATGTAAGGGCCGATTAGAGTAAAAACCAATAGGGTAAACTGTTTACCGTTTATATAGTGCGTCGTGCCTGATTTGGTCATTCCAATGATGTACCCACCGCACATGAAAGTTGTTCCGGTATCGCCTGGAGCCGTTTTATCGTCTTCTTTAATACTAGTTGCGCAAATTTCCGAATTGTACATCGTCTCTTCAACGAAGCATTCGTTTTTGGGAAGCAGGCGGAGATCGATCATTCTCAGAGTCTCTGAGACGACATCGACTCCAGTCATGGACAAAAGTCCGTATCCGACGGAGACACATGTATCACCCGTGGTCATGATAAATTGCAAAACGTGCTGCATCCCGAGCGCGTTTTGTGCCGGGAAATTCGCACACTCTACCGTGGGCGTTTGGACGAAAGGGGATTCGAGATAAGCCACCGCCACGTCGAAAATGGTGTAATATCCGAATTCGTTTCTCTTTACCTCGAAGTTTTCGTGTATAATGTAATCTCGAACGTACGAACGCTGCTCCTCGCCGGATTCTTCCGAAATATTGACCACCCCTCCGAGTATCGTAAAGGTGTTGGGGTGGACGCGTTCTCCATGGTCGAGAAAACAGTGAGCTACAGAAAACACCATGTCCAACGATATAAGAGTACCTCCGCATCGTCTGACACCACCCACACAGACGGTGGCTGGAAATTCGCCCGGCAAGACGTCCCTCCCACCTATGAGTTGTTTGTTGTCCTCTGAAGCTAGCAAACAGCATTCACTGATAAATAAAAAAATCAACGATATGCGCATGACTGCTCGGCTATTGAACTGCTGATGGCCATGTCCTATCCAGAAAATTAAAGGAAAACATATTATCATTATCATCCTCGAAGAAATTTTTCTTTGTTAACCATAAATAAAAATATTCTTTAAACAAAAAACAATTTTTTTTTAAATTTAGACTGGTTTAGATGATTTTCTGTCCTTTTTTAAGAACACATGATCTCAATTGAGGTACGTTTTCCTATGTAATTTTATATGGTTGTTTTGATCGAATTTAAACTTTTGAAGTATGAAATTTATTTTTTTATAAATAATTTGTTTGTAGCCATACATTTAAAAAAACATATAAAAAATATGGGCGTATATTTTTTCTGACGGTCACAACACTGCCAGCACTGAAGCCGACGAAGCATGTTAAAAGAAATCGTCGTTGCAATGCCATCGTCGTTTAAGCCGTTCTCTGCATTGAAAAATGTAGACAATGCTTGGGCAGTTGAGTTAGGATGGTTTTTTTTGGAGGTGGTCATAGCTTTTGGATGTGAGATCGGATCGCTTTTGTGACAAAAGGAATGGAGAGCTATTTGCCAAGGGTGGTTAGTGACGTAGTCAGGAACTTCGATAATTTGTCATCTAAACATTGATGAAAAACTCTGAATCTATTGGGTTGTCCGGAAAATAATGCAGGATTTTAAGTTTTCATTAAAAAAAATCTATATAAAATATTCTGTTTACGTTTACAGGATTACATTTGTATGAATGTCAACACTTATTAATCCTCTTCCAAATGATATTGTTTGTTTACCTCTGTAGCATTCCGCTACTTGGAAATAATTCAGTCATCCTTATAATGTCAAAGCGAGAATTTCGTACGATTTTCTTTTACGAGTTTAAACTCGGCCGAAGCGGAGCCCAAACGGCTAGAAACATTAACCAAGTCTGGGGCGAGGGTTGTGTTAATGAGTGCACTGTGCAAAGGTGGTTTAAAAAATTTCGGGAGGGAGATTTCAGCCTTGAAGATGAAGAAGGTCGTGGAAGGCCTTCCTCTCTTAATGATGATGTTCTGCGATCAGTGGTGGAAGAAAACCCCAAAACAACTGTTCGAGAACTTGCAGAGCAACTCAAAGTCAGTAAAACGACCGTCGCTGACCACCTCAAGGCGATTGGAAAAGTGAAAAAACTCGAAAATTGGGTTCCACACTCATTAAACGATCGCCAAAAAATCAGCGCTTTGATGTTTGTGCATCACTTCTTTGTCGAAACAAAAATGACCCATTTCTGGCCAGAATTGTTACATGTGACGAAAAGTGGATTCTCTACGATAACACTAGACGTTCTGGACAGTGGCTCGACAAAGGAGAAGCTCCAAAGCCCCCAACTCATCAAAAAAAGGTAATGGTTACGGTATGGTGGGCTTCATTTGGTTTAATACACTACAGCTTCTTAAATCCTGGCGAAACCATCAATGCTGAATCATACTGTAACCAAATTAATACCATGCATCAGAAATTGGCAGTAATGAAGCCCTCTTTGGTCAATCGGAAAGGGCCCATTTTGTTGCATGACAACGCTCGACCACATGTGTCTCGTGTAACGTCACAAAAATTATTGGAGCTTGGCTATGAAACTTTGCCTCACCCACCCTACTCTCCGGACCTCTCGCCTACTGACTACCATTTTTTTAGACACCTGGACCACTACTTACAACACATAATATTCAAAAATCAAACGGAACTGGAAAATGCATTTATTGACTTTATCAATTCTAAAAATTCTGAATTCTACTCAGACGGAATTAATAAGTTACCAACACGTTGGGAGAAATGTATTGAGAGTATGGGAAATTATTTTGATTAAAGAACATTGCTTTAAAGTAACTAGTTTCTTTTTTTTTGTTTAATACCAAAATCCTGCATTATTTTCCGGACAACCCAATATAAGGTCTGGCATTGTCATTCAGAAATCCCTGCCAATGAAATCTTTCATGTGTAAATCCCAGCCCAGACAAATACACCACCACCTCAAAACTGCACTGAAATGAACTCGAACTGGGGCATTGTACGCATCTCCGTTCTCGATAGACTCTTCGGCGCCTGCTATCATTATACAAACAGAAACGTGATTGATCAGCAACAACAGCATTTCAATTGGTGTTCCCTTTTAGGCGCTCGCTGCAATATATTCTCCTGAGTTGCTGTTGGTGGGTTGTTGCTGCAGCTCGTCTCAAAGGGGCAAACAATGTGAGGCTAACTGCCCACAAATGCTTGCAATTGCGGTTTGGATTCGTAGTGGTACTCGGAGAGACGGCTATCTGTTGTTCTGGTAATCGGAGCACATACACTGGGTAGCTGCACTCATCTCGAGGTGGTTGGCATTTCCACTTAAAACCAAAGCCGTCGTCGGAATGCATCCAGAAGTCCCTACGCTAGGGGGGGGCCTTCCACTCGGGGGAGATCAGTCGACTTCTCTATCTACGGTAGTACGGCGGAGGTTCGGATCGAATTCTTTCGGCCCTCGAACCAAGCGCTTTGCGGCACACGGTCAGGAGCATTGTTTGGCTGACCCCCCCCGGACGGGGCAAGTGGGGAAGAAGATCGGTTGGGTCCCTAGGGGCCTGGACGGTTTGTCTACACCAAGCTCGCGAGCCTAGCACTAACCGCCCGTGAGCAGAGGTGTGTCGCCTCCCACCTTGAGAAACAAACGTCTGATAAGGCCTTGTGCCAGGTGCGGACGATAAAGAACCTCATCGTCTTTCTCAAGACGATGTAACCCCGAAAGGGAACTTCATGCCATATTCGTAATCGTTTGTGTTGATAAAGGCCTTGCAAATCATCGTGTGCTTCATTTAGGATCTGCCGGACACTATGGAAAAGGTCTTCCAACAATGACAATATTTCTGCCGCAACAGTTTAGGCGTTGACACGGCGCTCATCGCTAAGGTAAAGGTCCCACGTTCGAACCATCTTAGAAATGGGCTTTTTTTTTTTAAACCAGTTCCCTGAGAGTTTATGTGACCTCTGCTGCGCGAACCCTCGCAAAAAATGTCTGTACTCCCTTAGCGTCGTAATGCGCTGAGATCCTCTACCAGGTTCCTATTGGCACTTCCAGTCTCTCGGAATAGGGTTAAAGCTCGGGAGACCACGCTCTGAGAACTAGGCAACTGCCTCTGTGATATCCATTTGCCGATGACCTCGATGACTCATTTTCACAATAACGTGGCAAACTTCTAGTACAAGATGATGTCTTCCATTGTTAAAGAGAATACGATTAAAACTGGATTAAAATTCATTCTTCCCCCTCACTCTCTCTCTCTCTCTCCCTCCCTCTCTCTCTCTCTCTCTCTCTCTCTCTCTCTCTCTCTCTCTCTCTTTCTCTTTCTCTTCCTCTCATTCACATTCACACTCATACATTTTTCTTTCGAGGATTTTCGACATGACAGGAAGGCTGCTGGTCCTGTAGAAAGTTATTTGGTTGGGAGGTTTGCGAACTTTTAGAAATAACTACGGAATTCTTCCATAAAAGAGGAAAGTAAGTGGTATGTAGTATGGCATTGGGCATTGCCGTTAAAAATAGCACTTCTGAGGACGATTTCGAAATGGCTGTAATTAGGTCATATCCAGAGGATTTTCTTTTTGTGAATTGTTGTTACGTAGCCTTCAAAAGGATAGAAAGGAAACTATTAATTAGGAGAAAAAACTTTAAAGAGTTGAATATAATTTTTTTAAACCAAATACTTTGTTCTTTGGGACGGTGGTTTTTTAATAATTGTTAAAAATAACAATAATCTTTATTTGCCAGAAGGAGGTTTTAAAAACTTTTCTATTATAAAATGCTGGAGGCTTTTTACAGGCATTATTAAACAAAAAAACTTTCTTAGATTCACTAATTTCGTGGTCCGCTTGACCAATTTTGTCTCAACTAAAAACCTTAATTAATTGTAAACTTTCTTAGGTTAATTAATTTATAGAGGATCTGAAAAACAATAATTTGTTGATTTTCTAGCAGTAATAGTTTTTCAGTCTTTCCATATCTAATCGTATGTTATTTTTAGTTAACAGAATTAAGCGGAAAAATGTTCTATTAAACAAAATCGATAAAGAGGCTGATGCAAGTTAGGTGTAGTATTTTGTTTGCCGCTTTTCAGGTATCAAGTAGTTTGTATTGCGTTCGTCAAACAAACAGCGTTGTTTCGGAAAGAATGGGTAAGGAAGAAAAAATATTTGTTCTGGAAGCTATCGTGCGCTCCCGGCAAACACCTACTACACCTCAGCTCTTGGTCAATATAGAAAATATTAGCTGTTGACTCTGGCTGTAGTCTGTTTGCATTCTCGATTGCTTGATATTTTCCTAACGCTTTAAACTGTTTGTTTCTTCTTTTTTCATGCGATGTTTATCAAAGCCGTTGTACTGGCAGTATGCCAATCCACTTGAATAATTTTGAGCCATTTATTAAACTTATATCGGAAAAATGTTAAAACGTCGAACCGTCAGAAGGGCAGAGGGATAAAGGGAACGACAAAGGGATGGAACAAAAGAAAGGAATCTCAGAATGCCTCGTGGGAGAGTCCATTCTAATGAGTGGTGCATGAAGAAAGGGCATGACTAAAGGAGAATAGGAAGGAATTAGCCTTGGGCCTTAACAACTTCATCGTCAACACTATTTACCCACGGTTTGCAGCCACCGAGCGACACCGGAGCATCTTTAACCGTTTAATCGCATCGAACAATTCATAGACTACTGCTTTGGGATAAGACAAAATATATTTCGCATAATGTATTCATTATACAAGAGGTTTTAGCAAGTTTTAGCAAATTCGAGATGATAAATTTTATAATATCAGTGTTTGAACTTGAAGGAGAACCACTCTAGTATAGATTCACCAGAAAAAAATTAAAGAATATATTTTAGGTCTGTCTCAAATAAACTCTCCCAGGGAGAAATATTTCTACCAGATGTATAATTTCGTACTATTTATCCAGGATTACGTAACTAAAATAGTCAAAGATTTTATTGTAAACTTAAGAGAGAATCTCTGGTCTGGCGATACGAGCTACGTGTTTGTGTAAGCCCCTTGGGTGCTTTGTAATCTTTAATATGATCGATATCAGTCATCTTGGTCCTGTTTTCGATGGGATGCCCTGACAAACTTGTTTATGCACTTCGCGAGACACACTGAGTATGACCGCGGTAGATTCTCTCTC